GCAACCGATTTCGCAGAATTTAACTCACTCAGGGCGCAAGATTCCCTGTGCTTGTCATTTGGATTTCATTAGAGAATCGACGTTCGTCCCTTTCGCGGATACGTACCCATTTGAGTAATTATCTCCCATTTCTGTTTCCTCCACCTTTGTTTTTTCATATTTTAAAATTTAAAATGTTTTCATTTTTTAAGTTACTTGTACAGTCTGCTTTTCTGCGATAGAGGGAACTTAAACTGATTTTTAATCAGAACAGAAGATAAGATGTCACATTTAAAACACAAAATACTCCATACGGCTCCCCTATTGACATTATACCAGTTCAGATGAAACCATTGCATACTTTTGTCAAAGGATGAACTAATAATAAACAAAGAATCTGCTTCATTACTCATCGAAATTTAAAAGAAATTAAGCAAGAAAAACACGAACATTTATAGTAATAGCACGCAAAGCTAACAAAATATCACTTAAATGCAAAAATTACTTTGCTATTTTTTATTGGCTGGCCAGTAAAACGTCAACCAAATTCGCAAATGTAGTCTTTCCTTAGTTTGTTTATCTACACCACAACCGATCATGTTGCTAGGACATTCGTCTGCCGGCCGCGTAACTTTGCGAGGTGCAGTTTGCGTTGTCGAGGATGCGTGAGATCACCCACATCCAAGCTGGTCAATGTGGTAACCAGATTGGCGCTAAGGTAAAAAAATATATTTTTATACATTTGACTAGTTTTGGGAAGTTATTTCCGATGAACATGGCATTGATCCGACAGGAACATACCACGGCGATTCTGACTTACAGTTAGAACGCATAAACGTTTACTATAACGAGGCGACTGGTGGAAAATATGTCCCAAGAGCCATCCTAGTTGATTTGGAACCCGGAACCATGGACAGCGTTCGAGCTGGTCCCTTTGGCCAGTTATTCAGGCCCGATAATTTCGTCTTTGGACAGAGTGGTGCTGGAAACAACTGGGCTAAGGGTCATTACACAGAAGGCGCCGAACTGGTCGATTCAGTTCTCGATGTGGTTCGCAAAGAAGCCGAATCTTGTGACTGCTTACAAGGCTTTCAACTTACCCATTCTCTGGGCGGTGGCACCGGTTCCGGCATGGGCACCCTCCTTATCTCCAAGATACGAGAAGAATATCCTGACCGTATAATGAATACTTTCTCCGTTGTACCTTCGCCCAAGGTAACATTCATTTTTGATTTTTTCTAATGTTATAAAGGTGTCTGATACTGTTGTAGAACCATACAATGCCACACTTTCCGTA